CGTACAAATTTGTATTGCTTAATGTAACATAGGGCAAAAATAAATACTCGTTCATCCACCTAGTATTTTGACATTGTAAAAAGTGAAACGATGTATCACAGTCATCTATTTAAACTGACTTAAAAATTAATTAAGTGATTCTATCATTCTAATTGTTTTACACTAATATAAATAATCTTTGCATTTTGACGATTTGTCATAAGGTATATACTATGGTTTTAAAAACGATAGTTGTAGTATTATTAAAAGCTTAAGTATTTATTTAGTTGACGGTAAGAATTTTTGTAGAATAAATTGTGGGTTACGTCAGAATATATAGCGTTTAATATCAATCTGGTTTTGGGAACATGAATTTCCTTATTATATAATGATGAAATAGTTCATACACGGAAGTAGGCAAACTTGAGCTTTTATTTCTGTCTTAATAACCTTTATAAAACTCCATTGAAGCTTTCAGATGGATTATTAAAGTTATAATCTATATAATTTGGCTAACAAGTATAAATTAATTTTACATCTTACATAGGTGTGTATTCTGTAGTTAAAGAATACAGGTAGGAGCTTTGTTGATTGATAGATTTCAGTTTTTTTAGAATGATGAAGCAAGTATATGCCAGTAGTATAACAGAGCCTCCAACAATAACAAGTGATTTGTAGTAAAAAATGTAATAATTGCAGGCATTGACGACGTAACTGAGCCAAAATTTAAATCGGTTATAGCTACAACAAATATTGACGACAATGATTAATAATATGATATTATGACAGGTTTTACTGTTTTTCAACATAAATAAAAAACAACTCGACCAGAATATAAACTATTCGTTTTCTGGTACAATATGCGACAATCTGGTACCTGATGAGTTGTAGTTTACAGCAATACAGCTGCTAGATCGTAAATCATCTGTTTACGCTTAGCCAATTGATGAAAACAAAAAAAAAACTATTAATTTTTTATTTGGTACAAAGATGCCTTGTTGTTAATTGTTGTAGTCAAAGATTTTTTGCAAACATCATAAGTAATTTTAGTCCGCTATGTATACAGACAAATCTTCGGTATAAGCATTCATGCATTGAACCGAGTTCAAATAATCATGATGATGCTGTTCAAATGTAACTTTGTTCATCTGTGTCATTTAACTAATAATAATTTAGTTACTGCAAGGGTTTACAATGGGATTACTATAAGGATTTTAAAAATATAATTTTCTTCTGTCCATAATATCAAATACGATATATGGATATATATATCCATATATCGTGAATACTATTTGAAAATTCTGAAATCAACATTGAAAAGTAGTTAAAAAAGATAAATTCCCATAAATCCGGGTTTACTTTCATAAGATTGCCGTAGATGTTATTAACAGTAGCCGGGGCTGGTATTGTCAACAACGGCTTGACGTCTGCCGACACCAGGAAAATAATAATAATTGAAAAATATGATACATCAACATCATGATGCTTTTTTGGGAAAAAAATAAAAATATATAAATACGTAAAAAAGCACAACGGTATAAATGTTTTTTTACGCTGCGAACCGCAGCCTCCCATAGTCCGCCAAAGTAAGGAGCTCTAGGGGGGATAAAGTGTCATTCAATCCCTCGCTTGTTCATAAACTGATAGACACGATTTTGATGATCTTCAGAAGTAATAAGAAGCCGAAATTCTTCTAATTTATTTTTTGCGCCCACAAAGCACGTAGCATTATCTGAATGAATACTTAAACAAAATCGTGTAAGCGCGGCAATAAAGGCATCTGTGCTTAAATCACAAACAAGCTCCAAATGAATCGCTTTTGTGGCAAAAAGTGTTAAGTATACATCAATTAATTTCTAGGAAAAAAATACGTTTTTTTACATAAATTAATAGGTCAGGAAAGTATATATTATAATAGAACAAAAATTCTGAAAGGATCTATTTTATTTTAATAGTTTAAGGCTAAATTGAAATGGTATCAATTGTTAAGTGTAATTCTTCTAATTTTTTATTAGCTTTTTTTGTTAGGTATTTAATATCTTCTGAATTTAAAGATCGAGTATTATTTTTATTGAAAAAGGTGTGATTTTGTATTAAATAATTCATAATAATCTTTTAAGTTATAAAAGAGCCATTGTCTGCTATCATTTGGAGGTGTATTGAAAAAATATGAATCAGAAATGTAAAAAAATGCATATAAACATACATAAAAACCACAGTCATACGTGTTGCTTTGCTGTATTGTATCGCTAGCGCATACACATTGCCATTCACTCAAGTTGAATTTAAGACTTGTTTTGTTTTAATAGATTGAAATATTATAACACAAATATGTGGTTTGAAGTAACTAAATAAAATGTTCTGTTTTCATTCACAGAAAGAAGAAGTCAAAAATTAATATTTTCATAAGTTTCAAGTGAATTTATTATTAATATATTTATAACTCAGCTAGTTAATAGCTATCAATACCAGAAATAGTTTTAATTTGTAGGCACAAATAATTTTTCATTTATAAAGTGCTATGATAAAAAAGTTATTATTGAATCACGGTCTTCTTGTTTTTGTTGTTCTCGCTTATCGAAATAGATTTTTCAATATGCTGTCCTAGGATAGTATCATACTTAGCAATTAATTTTACAAGTTCCAAAACTTCCATGATTTAAATTACTAATACTAAATTAAACTAATAAATGTACTGCTTTATCTCATAAGGTTTGATAGAAATGAAGTATTTGCGATTTTTTAACCGAATATCAACTGAAGAATCTAATAAATAGTGTGCTTAAAACGATAAAGAGATGACAACAAATTCTATAAATTCGCAAACCTTGGACAATATTGTATTGTAACAATGCTAAAAAAGCTCTGAAAACCAAGAAATTGTGATACATCAATAGTGTGAAAATTAAAATTTGTTTTTTTGTTTTTTTTAATAGTCTTTAATAACAAAAAACATTCGGCTCAACAATTAAACAGCAATAACAAGTAAGATGTAAATGTACATTATGGTAATAATATGATTTTAAAGACAAAAGAAAAACAATCAGAAAACTAAACAACATTGATATAAACTTAAAACCTTAATTAAATTGAGAAGCCAGAGCTCTTTAAAAAAAGAAGATAGCAAAAATGACAGGAGTGGAATGGGTGTTTAATGAATTAACGTTAAAGGGAGGCTGAATGTTAAGGGAAGAGAGGAAATTAAATAGAGAAAATTAAAATTTAAAGTGTATTTAAAATATGCGTCTTGTTTAAACCGTCTGGAAATGAGATTTAAGGAGCATAGCTTTTGTTTACAGGTACACCCATTGTGACGAAAAATTATCCACGCCAGAAACGAAATGGCCCCCGAGGCCGTTCGCAAATAAATCCAGCTTTTAGTTTATTGTTTGGAACCGACGAATTTAAGTAATAAAATAATTACATACCGCAAATTCGGGCTTTGTTGTAGTAGTTCGCGGTTGATGTGGACGTCCATTCAGCCGCCGCAGAAGCGGATGTTGATAGTTTGTATTATTATAAAAAAAAATTTTTTGTTGACATTTTTATGTCTGCTTTGGCACCACACGGAAAATCGACACCGGGGTTATCATAACGAAAAAAATCAGCTGATTTTTCTGATAAGATAAGAGAGATAAGAGATTAGAGAAATTTTTTTACTTTGGAACACAACCGGGAAAATCGACACCGACACCGAGGGTGGGAATGGGGATGTTACATTTTTTTGTTATGTCAAATGGTAACAAATGAGCGCCGCAGGTACCTAAGTGATATAAGTCCGACCATATTATATTTCTCTTGGTAAAATATTACAATTGTTGGATATATCGTTTCTTTTTGTGGGCTTCAGTATCATCGTGGGCGATGGTTTTTCTTTACGAGGCATTGATAATAATAATTTATTAATTATCCACAATACTGTAACTAAATTAGTCATAATTAATATAGTGTAATTTAATTAATAAATTAGTGAAGCTAGAATGTATACAAGTAGCCACTATGAATCTAGTATAGTACTATAAACGTATAAACGAAACCTAAGCGTTTAGGTGTACACCGTACAATTACACTTTATAATAAACCACGTGACAAACGTAACAAGAACTGATACACTGCTATACATGTGAACACGAATTAACGAAGACCCAAACTACGACCAAATGATGGCTGGCTGAAGACGTGGGCATCAACAGCAGCGCCCTGTCATTAATCCCCACCTAGCGCATTACTTTTAAGAAAATTGCAATTTTCAGATTTTCCCCTTTATTTACACTATAAGACCCACCTTTGTGCCAAATTTCACGTTTCTTCTTATACGGGAAGTGTCTTATAATTTTGATGATAAGCGAGTCAGTAACAAAAATGCAAATTTTGAAATCCTCCTATTGTAAAACGGCTAAATATTAAGGCCTCAATTTTAGGCAGTGTCCTAAACTATTTAACCTTATTTAGGTTTCACATTTTAAAAGCCCATCTTAAGAAGTAGCAGAGATATGAGAGTTAGAAATACCGGGTGAGAATTGGTTCGTGTGAAGTGATACACTGGCGTGCGCTCAGATACACTAAATATATTATGCCGTATAATGTACAATAACCCAGCTTGCGACGACGAATTGTCTGGAGGGGTTTAAGAGGTCGTTATCCGCAAACGCCACTCGACGTTAGCCCGTGCTCCTATACTTGGACTGGTCCGGGGTGTCAAAGTCATACACTACACTACACTTTGCTGGTTGCATCATTTCAACAATTATTTAAAAAAAGTATAATAAACTTTTATACTTTCACATAATATTATACACAACAGGGATCGTCACCATTGCAAACGGGCTTTTCTATCATTTTTTCTTTTTCATCCACAATACGTTTATACTTATACAATAATATAGGAATGTAATAACAGGAATAAGGATTACAAAACAAAAGAAACACATTAGAATAGCTATTTTATGTCCGACACTATAATAAATTGACGCACACCGCAACAACTTCAATTAAATATAATATATATTTAAAATAAATGTTTACATTTCGTTTTCAACGATAATCCTGGTCATATCTTGGGTGAGTTTTTTCATATCTCTGAATCTTAACAATGAACACGCTCTGTTCGTTTCGGCCCATACTACGCAGTCGTATCCCTTTGTCAAGACCGGTGCCTTTGTCTTATTAGTTAACTGTGCCAAGTAGAACATGATTTCCTTGTCATGGCCATTGACGCTGTACTGTAAAATTAGCATTTTAATTGTAAAATCAGGTTATTTTTACTATCATATATGTAGGAAAAGCTGTCTCTAGTCAATGCGTCCAAGCTACATAAAATATGCTTCACAACATAAAAAAAATATTATTTTTTTCTTATTTGGTACAATACAAATTTGACATTTTAGCTAAAGAAATTCTGTCTATGCTCAACAAACTTGATTATCTCTTTATAATTTAGCGAATTGATTATAACCGACACGACCAAGTTGTTGTAGGTCTCGCTGTAGCTGATGAATAGTTGTTAATTAGGTATAGTGATTTTCGTCTAAGCTATTCAGTGTTTACTTACTTTCACACAGCGCCTGTACTTATGGTACACGTCAATGTCTTCCGTTGTGTATCCGGTAGCACGTTGAGTAGCCTCCATTGCTATTTTGACGGGATCATCTCCTTGTACGATGTACCCTGCGAACGATAACGCGTTTGATTATAACGTGATGTCATTTAAGGGACCACTTTTATAATACAACCTTTCGGAGGCGTCCAGTATTTATCTGGAGTGTACGAAGTGCGAAGCAACATGTATTGAATGTCGCTAGCCAAGTTCCGGAATAGGAACAGACCCGCGGCGCCCGATAATCCAAGAGGTGGCATTTAGATGCTATTTGAATTTAGTGGAAAGTCTAATAAAAATTTAATGGGCACTTTTCGATGAAACTTATCGAGACGTGTATAATTTAGATGTGTATTGATAATTTTCGAATAAGTAATTGTGACTGCGTTGCTAGCAACTGCTAGAATACTTTATTCAGCCAGTATACAATCAAGTTATTTTCGGTAAAAAAAAAAAAAGATATCGTGATTGAATGATTCATGATATTAATACAACCGTACTTGCTTTAAAACACTCCGGAGCCTACCCAAGTGGACCATTGGCAGATTGAACCAGTAAGCAAATAAATCGACAGTCTTTAAAATTAAAAATCGTGTATTATATATATTATAGAATTGGCCTACGAGACAAAAATACAATACGCTATGTCATTCCCAAAACGGCAGCGACCCAATGGGCAGTTGGATCATACATCATTTATATTGAAATAATACAATATTATGTATTTCTACTAATAATAGCATCGAGTGGTAAGGACCCATTATTAGTGTAAGATAACAAATAATGGTACATTTGTATGATTTGTAAAAAATAATTAAGTTCACTATGTTCACCGCATAGACCATTGGCATACACGGATAGCATATCGGCGTGCTTCAACCTGAATAGACAACCGCGCTACGTACCCATCCACTATAACGGTGTAGAGCTTTGTATATTTGTATGCATTGGACAATACAATAATGTATCGGTTTCTATGGATTTTTCCATCAAGTTTTATAATCAATTCATTTGACTTTGAATGTTTAAAAAACCTATCGTTTACGCATCACGCGAAAAGGACATTTCATCATTAATTTTTGTCTTGTTGGACCTAAGGAGGAATTAAGGCATAATGAAAATTCATAACTGTAGAGAGATGATGAGTCGCAGTTGTACTAGCAACAGGACAGTAAGCAAGCGCTGGGATAGGGCGGTGAAACTTGTCAAAACTGAGCACGTCGGGGCGTATGGAATCCTCAGGAAAGAACCACGTATTCCGTCGTATGCGGACCGAACCGCCGTTGTTTTGGGTCTTGTTGTTGATAACTCTCTTTTGAATTTTGCTGACGACCCCTGGGTGTGGTGCCGATACCACTAGTGCAGTGGATACCGCCCCTTTGGAAAATATCCAGGAACCTCCTTTAGTTCAAAAACCAGCAGTGCAATCCGTCTACTTGGCGTGTCCGGCATCGAGCAATCGGCGTAAGCCATTTGCGAACTCCAGGGCGAATTGGATTGATTGAGCCAGTGTTAGACCAAATCTAATGCCGAGCTTACCGTGGCCCAGAACTGGGATGAAAAACTCGGTGTTGGAGTGTGAAAAGAGCCGGTAGATCCAGCTACCTAATTACCAAACCAAAACGTGATCCCGTATGTCTCATAGGAGTGAAGGGCAGTTCTTCCAAAAAATGATAAGAGATAAGAGTTCTTCCAAAAGATAACACAATTTTTATTTTATCAGCGTGACCAACCCAGAAACACCAAAATATAAAATCACATTTTATCAGTCTGCCAATTCTATCAGAATAAAAGTAACTAAAATATAACTAACGTTTGTCAGAGTTAACTGTTATCTCTAGAACTAAACGGCAATAATTCAAATGATAAAAAAAATAACCGTGTTAAAATATATTATATTTTCTAAATAGTACACATTTTTACGATACATTTATAATGACAAAAAACCAACTAGTTCATATGACGACAACGATAATTATTGGTAAATAAAATTTACTTTCGTTTCTTATTAATATTAAATGAATATTTTTATAAGAATTCTTTTTTAATTCATAATTCAAAACTCTTATTTTCACATAATATAAACTTGCAATATTTAATATGAATAACATAATATATTTATCAATTATAGTACCTAGCGACAAAGTTCATACATACACTATATTGTACTAATTTGTGTGACAATATTATTACATCCTATTTAAATAAAACTATTAATACAAGTAAATTATGTTTTACAGTATGATGGTAGTTGTCTGAAGTCATAAAAAGCTTATCAGTATGCTTATTCATTAGAGCGGTTCGATTCCTGAAACTATCTCTAGTTTGATTAAGTGTGGTAACAGGTATGGAGTTATTTTTTGTAAAATTGTTTTAATTGATTTAATCTCTATTATTTTAATAATTAACATTTCAACTTTTAACTTATTTATTAATAATATATCTTTCAGTTTTAAGATGAGTCAAAGATTCTGGTTGAACAGTTCTCCATTGACACTAACTGGAAGAAATAATTGTTTTATCATTTGTCTAAATAGACTAGGTAAGGAAAACATTCTACATTTGTAGTATTAATACAAATATTGATACAAAATTAGTTTAATATCAATCTAAAACACCCTAATATAGGGTATTTAAAAAAAAAGAAATCAAATGTAAATTATCTTTCTTTTTAATAATTTAATTTACTATTTTCTAACATTGTTAGTTTTTGTACAAGAAAAATTGCATTTACTTGTAGATCTTACGCTTCATTGGTATGAGATAACAAACTAGGTCCACTTGATATATACCGGTCACAAATATAGTCTATTCATGAAATCACTCTTCTAAGTGTTATTGATAGATAATTTAAGTTGAATGGTATAAAAAAATGTCATTATCAATTTTCGTTATATTTAATTTTAACTTCACAATTAACAAACGTTAACATTAGTAATTCATTTAAAATTGGTTTTATATTATAATTATTATTAATATTATTTAACCGTTTGTTGTTTTTTCAGCTAGAATGTGACCAGAGGAAGATTAAATGGACATATCATATATTTCTCCATGGACACTGTAATCCATAGACGGATTTTTGACACTATATTTGAATATTTGTTGTTGAAGTTAATTGGATTTTGTGCAAAACCCCTGGAAGAATATTCTGTATCAGACTAACAGTATAAACGCCACCCAGTATTTCTGTTTACCTGCTGTTAGACATCGTAGTATCATCTCCAATCTCTTTATATTTTGTTTAATTTTATTTAAAAAAGTCTCATTATAATTTATTATTAATCAACTGTAATTCAGTTGTTTATTTATTGAATAACTTATTATCCTGTCTTCAACGTCCATATAAACTGTACTGCATTTATGACCACTACACTGATATCTCATTTGGCTAAATATTTTTAATTTTCAACTACATTAAAACAAAATTAAGATTGTTTAAATTTTTTTTTTTTTTTGAATACTTGTATAATTGTTTGAATATTTTTACACTTTAAGTGGCAATACAAGTATCTTTAGTTTAACGATATTAACAGTATATTACTATTACAATTTTGACAAACATAATTATTAGCCTACCAAATAAATTATAAATGTAGCTTCTGTATTTGCTTATTTATTAATATTTACTTACCTTAATAACATTAAAATATTAATTTATTGTAAAAATATCTTAACCTAACTGAAAGATTGAAAATTTGTAAACTGTTGTGAAATTATGTTGATGTTGTTAGGAAAAATTGTGTAGTCAAAATTTTGAATACCTAGATTAAAAAAAAAAACGGTACAATTTTTTTTTGCTAAACCAAGTAATTATTCATTTGTAAATTTTGATGTTTAGTTTATAATATATACATTTTTAATTATAAAATATCTTTACTTAAGTATCATTGTATACTATTTATACTTTTTACCAGATTATTTTATGTGTTTTAAACTATTACATTTATTATTTCTATTATTACTATTTATTATTTATTTAAATGACTTATCAAACTTTATGAATTGTACTTTATAAATTATAAAATTGGTCTGAAATGTATACTGTGTTACTATAGGTAGCCTGATAGACAGGAAGTCTATATTGTTTTTAAGAAATAAAAGTTGTTTTTTCTTGGTTAGCTTAATTATATAGTGTGATTGACTAATTTTCTCTCATAATAATTTCAATTAGGTAAAATTATTTTTCAAAACATTTTTGTTTGTGTTATTTTACAACTGAAAACATGTTTTAATAACCACTTACTTTTTTGATAATTTTTAATTAAATAATATTTAATTATGATAAAAATTCAAAGCGTATTTAGTATATAGTATATATTTGTTTATAATTTTATTATTTAGAAATGCATTAGTTTTTAGATGTAGTTTGACACAAAAAAGTAAAAGTAAACCAAATGTATTTTTTCTAAATCTGTTCTCATAGACACGTTTACTCTCGATAACGAGTGATTTGTATCTGTGTATTGTATTAAGTGATATTATATAATACGTTTAAACGAAGGATGTTTAACATATTGAATACTCCCTTTGAGTATACAATGATGTGTTCGATATAAATTGTATTATAAAGTCCAGATACCGTTATCTTTATTTATATGCATAGTATAATGTAGTAAATAATTATAGATTCAACATTTAAATAATAAATTAGCTTTAGTAAGTTTAACCCTTAACAATACCTGCTATTATCTAATAACTATAGATATATATAAATAATGTCTTGATAATAATTGAATAGTTTTATAACATATTCAATATTTTTGATATTTTCATTTTAGTCAGTTATCAATGAATCAAAGTATACAACTATTTTCTTTTTAATAGTAACGCAGTTACATCTTATATGAATAAATGTTTCATAATTCATGAAACACAATTTTGTAGCTCTACACAGTTTTGACCTCTAATCTTTAAGTTATCCAGATTAAAATAGTTTTGAATATTGAAAACCATATGTTCAGTTTTATTCAAATTCAACTATAAAAACTCGTAAAACTATGTAAATATGTTTTAATAACTAAATATTATATTACTTCATTATTTGGGATTTAATGATTTTTCAAATATTTTTGATAGAGACAGTGATAACGATATTGGTTTATAATGGCTACAGTCTAGTAATTATAACTAGAGCCCTAGTAATTATAATTACCGACTGAAATAATAGATAATAACTACTGAATTATTATTTATTTCCTGTTTTGTGTAAAGGAATGAAGACACATTTGTTAAAACTATTGGGGCACTTACCTGAAAA